AATACGGAAACAATGAAGCAGTTTCTCTTATGCAGTGTTTCGGGCGATTTGGAAGTTCCGAAGTTCAATTTTCCCGCGGCTTCCCGGACGTTGAGCACTTTCGCACGGCCGCCATTCTATCGATTTTCCGGGAGACCGAAAAGCTTTTCCTTGAAGCTGGGCATTCCGACAGCTGATCGATTTCGAGCCAGACCCGTGAGTTTTCCCAGTTTTTCCACCGGAAAATTAGAAATAGTTGCCACTTTCCGGCCGGTGCGTTTACGAGTAGAGTAGTTGGTGACCAGCGAATCTGCAGAAGGACAGAGGCCAGTTAGCAGAACCGTAGAGGTAACAAAGAGAGAATTTTCCTATCAAATATGTAAACACCCACGCTCAGCCCATTGATTAGTCTGATACGTTTTTGGCTTGGTCTAATTTAAATTAAAGCTCTGAGTGTTGCAGGAGGCGCGTTGTTTTCCTCGATTTTGCAGGCTCAAGTGTTAGTGTTAGTAGGCCGTTCATCAACAGCAAGGGGGTTTAGATGATTTCATTTTTTAACATGGTTTAATTCCTGTTGAAGGCCCACATCAATTTCCACAAGATTCCCAGCCATTGACCGAAAAGTTTGACCTAAAAATGTGATGCGCAAGAACTTGACTTTGGCGTGAAAAATGAATGGGCTTGAGTCTAGTTGGGGACAACAATTACGCTTTAAACTACTGAAAATATAGCGAATAAACGGGCAGCGAACCAAGAGAAAAAAGAGTTACAATGAGCACTCTACAGTGCCAGAGTCAAGATTTCCGTTCAGCTGCAAAAAGCTCATATTTCCCAATTAGTTCCTCAATTAACGTTTTTTATTCAATGCACGCTCAACATCAAGCAAATTTAGTCGCCTAATTACGTGGTGAACTGACAAAATCCCATTCAGTAGGAAATTAAGCCAGATAGCGGCTATTTATCAGGCAAAATTACCATTCGAATGGAGGCATTTGCTGCTTTAAACCTACTGACGTTCCGTTATCGGTCGTTAATGTAGTTCGAGTTCCATATTGATCGTTTGTGTTGCGAAGCGATCATGCCAAAATCCGGTAAAAGTTGCACAATTTCGGGATTTTTCCCAAACTAATGCCTTTCTCATCAGGTGATGAACCGTTTGAGTTAAGGAAGCAACGCTCTCGCTTCCTTTCCTGGGTGGAGATTCCATTGGGATATTTTACTGAACACTCTGTAAGTTCGTTGTTTCAGGATTTTACCGATGAGCGGATTCGGTTTGGCCACCTGGCAAACCAGATTTGTCATATTTGGACTTTTGGCAGAGGTATTTAGAGAGATGGTTGAGAACTGGGTGTGAAAAGGAAATTGTTCCCACTGGTATCAAAAGAGTTTTTTCAGTTCTTCGGGCTTTAGACCGCCCACATAGCAAAATGATATTCCCAGAATATGCCTGGAACATTCATGTGATGTACATGCATATTCCTGGGACATACATGAGTTACATACATGTTCTGGGAATGTACATGGTATGTTCAGTGAATGTATATGGTATGTTCAGGGAATATACATACATATGTAACGAAAGAAAAACGATACGTTATTTCCTCTTATTAGTTTATTCACATATTTAAGTATTTACTGATGTAATTTTTCAACAACAAGAGTTACTTGCAACTAATCTAAAACTAATTAAATGGATAATAAATAAATTAAAATATAACTTGTAACTACGGACTAAAAATCCAAATTAACATTTTCAGCATTTTTGCCGTTGTCGCAATGATGTGCAGCTGTGAGATAAAACACAAACCTTTGTCTAAAAAACTGCACTTATTATTTTATATTCCTTACATGTTCCCGCTCTGTGGCTCTTGCCCTTTCATTTTGTTCCCGATCAATTAAAGTGTTTCGCAATGTGCTCTTAACAAAAATTCTATAAGCAATTACAAATTTTAATATTGGTCACAAC